AATATACGAAGTGGGTCTAACCTCGTTAGATAACGTAGAGGTTTACAGCCCAAAATATCAGAGTACACAACTGATGAAACAACGAATTCTAATCTTTATAAGTAAGAACAGTATATTTAATTAGCTATAGTCATTGCTGGGTTGATTTCTATTTTTGATGTAAATAGGTAGATAGCGCTGATCGCAAGTTAATAAATTAATATTATTTGATAATTAATTCAATACCCTACAATTCATACAATTTTTATTAGAATTCTTGAAGTAATACAGTTTTTTTCAGTTTCGTAACGGTCGCTGAAGGAAGAATAACTGTACTCACGTGAGTAAAGCTTTAAACACGTGAGAATATATATGTTTTCGGTATGCTTGCTTTTCTGTTGTTTTTTTTTGTTAGCGTAAAGCTACGCAATAGGCTATAAGCGCTCTGTCCACAGCGCGGATTTGAACCACGAATTTGAGAGTTGTAAGTCCGCAAGCTTACTGCTGACCCACCAGGGGACCTTGGGTATGTAGAAAAGTTGTCTTTTTCTGAAACAACGGATTTGTACAGTAGTTTATAGATTCGTTTTCCATGTTTGTACCCTTGAATTACACGTTGAAGTTAACTGACTTGATTTCAGGTTATAATCAGGAACACCTAATGTTAGAGACACTGGTAATACACCCGCTGAATATTGGTTATGTATTATCTATAATATATATTCTGATAAAAATCAATTTTAGTTATTTATTTTGTTTCCTGTTCAGAGAAACACATAAACCAGGAACTTTAACGAAATGATTTAACAATGAATGTATATTTTAATGACCCTAAAGTATGCGAAAACATAATTATAACATCAACATCGTTCATGAACTTGACATCACGTGCGTTACTGGAAAGCTGCCAACTTTTCGTCTCAAGTTCAAATACAATATGCATGTGTATAGTCAATTTCAGTTATGTTGTGAATGTTCAGGGGAGTTATTCGATTTTTCTTCTTCATTACCTCTGGCGGGAAGCTAATATTTTTAGCAACACGAAAAAAATCACGCAAACGATATTGCGTTTGTTAATTCCTGTGGAAACAAAGTTATTCGGAAATCAATCTTGACCACGGTCTGTTCATGATAACATTACACATTAATTCCATATTATATTTCCTTAAAATCTTTTGCGATTTCCTCTGTTAAGCATCATTAATCTAATAAAGGAAAACTATTTTTAGACTATCTAATTATAAGGATCCTTCCTGTACTTCTCAAGCATTTACACTAAAGCAGCAGTTTTACAAAATCGGAAGCACGATTGAAATAATCAAGTACTGGAAATACTTTTTTAAAAATCGTTTTAAGAAATTTCTGGCAACGTTCCTACTCAATACGTGACTGTGTAGCAAACATACTATTTCTATTAGTAATGCTTCAAATTTCTTTCGAATATTGTTGCGCAGTTACACAAGAGATACTCGCGTGTGACATCCCTAATTTTAAACAAATAGACTAGAGGGAAGGGTTAACAGAACCTACAACCAGCTTTTGAATTATTGTCCGATCGTCCATCTTATAGTATACCTATGGTCCAAAATGCGGAGCGCGTTTTTGTGGAAAACAAAGTCATAATCCGGGCATGCTAATCGCTAGGCAACGACCAGCCTTTCAAGTAAGAAAGTCAGTCCATTATTAAACCAATACTTCTCTACATAACTGACTGTGTTATGACACGGTATTCAGGAACCAAAGCAATTTTAGTTTTACTAGTGTTTGTCATATCGTATAAACTGTTCTGTTTTCGAACTATTCACTCCCCAGTGGCTCAGCGGCAGGTCTAAAAGCTTATAACTAAAAACCGAACTACTTACCAAAGCAAGCATTAGGAAGTTTCGAGTGGAAAATCAAATTGACTTTAATCTTCACAGATGGGTCTTTAGAACGATAGAAAATTCGTTGTTGTTTAAAACCAAGGATATTAGATTAAGTGCTAAAAAATCCTCTGGAATCAAGGTACGAACTTAAATCTCCCAAATGTCCAATTATTCATCTTAATGTTTTTATATGGGTCTAAACGTTCTATAGTGAACAAAAATAATCTTGCATTCTTGTGATTAATTTATAACGCAACAAATCTTATAATATGTTTCACTGTAATTATTTTAACATTAATTGACAATCATTTCTTTTCAAACGTTATTTTGCTATTTTTCGCTGTACAAAGTTTGGATTACTGTTAGAATATTTAGCCGTTCTGAAAACACGTGTGGTTCTTTTTTATTTTAGTTTTGTATGGAGATGTTGGTGTTTGGAAAATCGTTAAATATGGATTAACAAACATTTCTTCCGAACTTTCGAAATCCGTAAAAACTCCTGGCGATCGAATTACTAAAAGAAAAATACTTTAGTGAAAACACTGGGAATATTTTTCCGGTTTCGTGATCCGAATTATGTACATAATTCAAACCTTATTGCAACAAAAAACTCAAATTTACTTCCGTTATTATTGGGGTAAAAATAGAACAACATTAAAACTAATATATCGAAATCTTAAGCATCGGCAGATATTGTTTTATAGCATTTCAAAGCGCTCTGAAGCGACAGAAAATGCTGCTGCTCAAAACAAGAAAAAGTACGTGGTTTCTTCGAAACACAAAGTAGTCATTTCCCAATCCACAGCATTTAGATTTTCAACTCATTCATTATCTTATTTATTAAAGTTATATCAAACATATTTATAGGAAATATAAAACAATGCCTTATACTAGATAACCTTTTATCAGGAAAATAAAAAGTAGTTGGATATGCTTAATCGCAGGGACACTCAGTGTTTCCTGTGTTTCTGTTCAAAAAAATATGACAATTCCGTCACAAGACGAAAGGGCTTTTAAATATCAAACTAGTATTAAGAGTGAAAAACAAAAACAACGTTTTTTTGGCACAATGAAGTATAAAATCTTTATTACAGTTTCAGCCGATTAGTTTCGGTAAGAGAGCTATCATCATTCGAGACTTGTTTGTGTGATTGTAGTTAAGCATAAAGCTAAACATTAGGCTATCTATGCTCTTAATGTGTAGCTTTATGCTTAACTACAATCACACAAACAAGTCTCGAATGATGATAGCTCTCTTACCGAAACTAATCGGCTGAAACTGTAATAAAGATTTTATACTTCATTGTGCCAAAAAACGACTTACAACGCTTGAAACCGGGTTTCGATACCTGTGGTGGGTGACTATCTATGCTCTACCCACCACGGGTATCGAAACCCGATTTCAAGCGTTGTAAGTCCGCAGACATACCCATGTATCACTGGGGCAATCATATAGTAGCATAACTTGTCTGAAAAGAAATGATCAAGGTAGTAGTTGTTTCATTCATGATTTTATACATTCTACTGATCGATCAAGCGGTTTGCTTTATCTTTTCGTTGGAGTAGCTCTCCAAACATGTGCGCTTAAATTATGTCAACTGTAGTTACTAAACAGTCAAAATTACAGAAAAAAATGAATTTACATATATTACAGGTAATAGCAGTTAACGATCCAAGAAGTTTGATTAGGCATGAGCTTTCTTTTTTTACGAAGCTATTTTATACTATCATTAGATATATTTACTATAAACTAATATTCACGTATGCGAATAAGTCTGTGCAAAAATCTATATACTCACTATTCAATCTTCATTAACACAACGAAAGTAGGCGTTTCTGTTCCTATGGTAACAGCAGTAACAGCACCTGTTCAGCGTGAGCGACAGAGGTCAGATAGGTAAAATGCGAGATGTTGGCGTGTTGTTCGAGTACGTTACAACGGTTCCGTTTCTGTAACAAAAGAATTTGCGAAAGTTGCTACTGCATGTTTGGGTGTTTGCCACTTGTCCCCCTGTTCTTTGCCTCACATTGCTGTAAGTGATTTTGAATAACTTATTTGGTAAAAATATTTCTAAATATCTTTATTTACTTTAACTATTCTTGTGTTGTATTTTTTGATAATCATTCACAGGTTGTATTTAGTTTTTGCTAAGAATATTATCGCTTCACGCTGAAATAACTTCTGATGTTTTGCACTACTCTTAATAAAGCGATAGTTTTGCAGACAAACAAAAGCTTTGAATGTATATAATCTCAAGAAATACATAGTAGAAGCTGTAGGCGTCTTGTTGTCTGTGTTGCACTGCCGAATGACGAGCCAAAGGCGCCACGCGCTGGCGCTGAGCAAACTACTGGCGCCACGTGGATTAGTGAAGAACAGTATCATTTTGGAGGAAGTACAGAGAAATATTTAGCCTAGTCTTTTTTAGTTTCTATAACAATTAGTCAGACTATTTTGTTTGTAGCTTTGAGAATAACATTTTAACGTAAAAATAAATAAACTCAGTATCCCCCCCCAAAAAAAGGCGTTTTATCATTCAAAGAACAGCTTGAAAATAAGTAATGGAAGTAGTTTTTTCCTCATTCATAAGGGTGAAGATGTCGTAAGAAAATCTAACGGGAAAAGAAGCGCATTGGTCCGTCATCAAAAAAGAACACGTTTCGTATAACATTTCTGAACCCCTGCTTGTTGATGTTTTTTAATCTTCCAAGTATAGCTTTACGAAGAAAAGCCTCACGTCACTACAGCTGTTTTGGTTCTGCCCATCGAATCGATCATTCTGTGACGAAAGGTCACAACATTTAAAGATCAACTTGCAGTGATTACTCGTATTATTCTCCTTAGTTTCCATTATAATAATTAAAGAATTGAAGGGTTTTTTTTTACTACGTTTTATGGACTGACTTAGAAAATTATTTATGTTTTCTTCCGCATATTAAACATTTAGAATAATTACACATTTCATAGATTTTACTACAGTTTGCTAGCTTAATATTATTTCGTATAATTTAGCAAGAAATTTGCTCAATTCTTGGATGACACAAGCAAAAAAATTGTATTTCTGTGTAAAATTGATGACACTTCGAGAGCATATCTCAGATTGATACATTTTGGTCGACCAATTCAAGAATATCATTTTAAACTTTTGTCTGCAGTGTATGATGGAGAAGAAGAAAAAGACGCTGCTTTCTCTCAGTTTTCCAAAACGACGAATGCCTCTCCCCGATTACCACGGCGAGATACCCTCAGTGATTCAATAGTCTTACTTAGTGAAGGTCTGGAGGATGAATCGCTTATATTTAAGTTTGAAGTAAGTAGAATTTGAGTCTTATTATCTATCCATTCGTCTGTCCATCCAGGGTAATTGTTACACTGTTACCAATAATAACTTATTTGTTTTTAACTCGAATTTCAAGAGGGCCAGAAAGCCTTTCTACATATTTACTTTTTACCCTTGAAAAAAGTTGTATATTCATTAGTGGCTTCCAATGTAAATTATGTTACAATGGTTTTACAATTATAGTAGGGTACTATTTGTTTTAAACTTTTAGGCTAGAAAATGAGTTTGGCTATCGTGAGTAATAAGAATTCAGACTGACATCATTTGGCTATCAAAAACTGTCATAAGTTGATAAACAACAATTCACTGTTTTCTGTCTATTAAGAACCACAAAAACTTACATTAATCGATACAATATACACTGTATAGGATATTGAGCACGCTTTTTTTAAGACCTTACAAAAATTATGCCCAAGTATCTTTAATCTGCTGGGAACGATGCATTAAATTTCTTTTTTATACATTCGTCAGTAAAGGTAGTTTTGGGCACATGGCAACTGGCAATCAGTGTGTTACTACAAGTTGGAACAGTAACATCCAATACGATTTTTTGAATTGTAGCAGAAGAGCAACCGAAAGCTATTCTTTGATATGCATAACTTCATAATAGGCAAAGTGAACTTGCATCTGTAACACTTCCACTAGGAGGAACTGCGATGGAAAAATTAAAAATTGGCAACATTTTAGTTAACGGCAACAGTCTGTAAATTTTAGAACATTTATTGACATTTTAAAATAACTGTTAATTAGGAACATTTATTTTTACTTTTAATATAAGAAAGGTATATAGGAGTAGTAAATTTTTAATGATAATCGCTATATATTAGCACCGAAACTGATGCTTCCTGACATAATGTCCTATGGCAACATAATTCAACAAAACCATGAGAAAATCCCAAGATTTCTACAAGAGAGCATCACAGTCTGTTGTGAGGAATATTTTATATATTTAGAGAAGCGTATATGAACAACACTAAACGTATATTTTAAAAGTGAGGGCATATGATTTGTTTTTGACTACTAGGATATAGAAGCTGAACACGGTTATAAGGGGAAATGTAAACTACTAAAGATTTTATTGAATTAATTTTCAGGTATATCAAAATCAATGAACTCCGTTAAGAAAATTACACGATTCAGACCGCGTTACTGGTACGAAATGCTTGAAAGGTACATTTTAATAAACGGATTGTTTGTGTTCACATGTGCAATTATTGGTAAATTCTATGATTTGAATGTGGAGCAAACTGAAGACAAATGCTATGTATTTGGGCTATTAAGGAACGACACAAACTTTGTCAAACAAATAAAATTACTATTAATAAATGTTACATGAGAAGCAATGTTCATCTTCAAAAATGGTCACTAAGCTTTATGTTAACGATGTGGTAAGCAAAGGATAAACTTAACACACAGTTAACTGATTTTCACAATAAATGAAAATTCGAGGATATACCACAGGACACGTGTTGTAATTTGTTACAGGTGGAATAAAAGAGACAAGATAGGTGGGAAGTTAAAATAAAAATCAGTCATTTCGGTGTGCTGTAATTAAACGAAAATTAACGCAGAAAATTGAAAAGTAAAAAAAACAACTATATTTAGTTAAAAGTAAAATGTTAACAATGAAATGTATTGAAATAGAAGTTTGCATACAAACACACACACAGGATCAGCAAACTAAAGAGAGTGGAACAGGAAAGAAACTTCACTAGCACGATTTGACACGTTCAGAACAGAAAACAAATTTGTTTGAAAACTCTAAAATTCTTAGTAATTCAACTCTCTCTATAGCCAAGCAGTCAGAAAATTGGATTACAAAGATCCAGAAGTCTCTGAAAAAAAAAATGAATACGTTTCATATGAGAGTGAGCAATGTGGTATTTGTTTACAAAACACGATTCTATAGCCATTCTAAAGCCAGATATCTTAACATTTCAAAGTTTGAGAAGTTCACTTTATGATTCGGTATGAAAAACCTTATCAAATTTTACATACACATTTCTCATACTTTTGCATACATTACACACTACATTAAGATGCTGATAATTGAACTTTTGATCAAAAACATCTTTGAGAAGGGTTACTTCTTATTAAAGATACTTCATGGGAACGAATAATTTATAATCTTGACGTTTTTTTATTTTTTTTACACTAGAGTATCTATAGAAGGAAGCCAGGAGAAACAACAGAAATTGCAAAGTTACATGAAAATTTGCGAAAAAATCGTTACAGGGATATCTCTCCGTGTAAGTTTCCATAAAAGCAATTCAGTACTTTGAATATTTATTCATCATAAGATATGTAACTCAGTATTGATGTAGCATAAGTAAAATACCTTACCTAAATTTTAGTTTTAAAAAGAAGTTGGTGTGTTATAATAATTTTTTTATTTTTCCTAAGAAATAAGTAAAGCTAAAACTTTTATTGTACATGTAAAGAGATGCAGATAAACAGACAGGAGAAAAAAGTTATTAGATTAATCCAGAAATAATACATTTAAAGTAATAAATACATACAACATGTTAGACTAAAGCCAGAAAGATAAAAATCCTGTTATAACATTTTCTATTGCTGCTATTTTGGAAAAATTGGCCACAAAGCATTGATGGTATAACATGAACCACAGGAAGCTTCGATTTTCCTACTTCATTATGGGTTACAGTCAGTCTTAAACTTCTGCAATCTTCACAAGATCCATCGAGATGCCTTTTCTACCCACCATATGATCGGAAAACTCTACTGATTTACGCATAAGTGCATATTTCTCGGGCTTTAGCTTTAATCTTGATATCTGTATCGGTTAAAATATCATGGGCAGGTTCATTATAGCAGAATCAAACACTGGGGCCAAACACCAAGACACCATACACTTACACGAAGCACCTCTCCCATTGCAAACCTTTAAGTGCTAGCTTGAACAGCCTTTCAAAGGTAGATGAAGCACTGCAATGTCTGAAAAACGTGACTCTAAGCTCAAAAAACACATCTCGAGTGCTAAAATCAGTCCTGGGTTTGCTCTCCTTCGTCCAGTCTGATTTGTTAGTATCTGAAGGCCAGGTTTCGTGCGTTGAACCATTGGGCACCCTTCAGTGCATCTAGACGTTCTTCCATCTGTGGCAACAGGAAGTCATCAACGTATAACATAGCATTTATTTGGCAGAAGTCAACATAGAATGGCTATCATTCTTCTTCCTGACAATCACTACTGGTGTTAACCATAAATTCTCGGAGGGTTGGATGATCCCATCCTTTAACATCCACGCCATCTCACTACTGGCTTTTCCCCTAGTGCTCCAGGTAAGTCAGCAGGGCAGCTGTTTATTATGACTTGCATGACCAACAGATGACTGAGACTCTGACACTGAACTGAATCCTGATTGTTGCTCCAGTCCTCAACTAGTGATCTCAGGTGGGCTGGAAGCCAAAAATGAATTTTAAGATTTGGTGTGACAGAAGAAACCTTTACATTAACCTACTGTTGACCATCTATGCTGCACTTACCATGCCACTGACTATTTCAGCAGGAAGTTGGAGTGCTGATGAGTCGTAGTTGCAAAGCAGTATGGAGACAATCATCCCTACCAGCTGGGTGAATCATGATCTGGCCAACAGCTGCCTGCTTGCCACACAGAAGACAGTATGCCTCACTTGTTGGTTTAACAACCACTGTGTAGCACTAAGGCACATAGTTTTGTCCAAATTATACCATGGCACACTACTTGCATGTTTGGAGGTATTGCAATCCCCTCCAATAGATACACATGAGCAACACACAACAGCTTTTTTCTATTATTTTAGGTCTGATTTTTATTATGTATTTATACTTGCACTAGTACTTTTCTTTTCACTCCACACATGTGCTAATTCAATGTTTTATAGGGGAGAAATATACAGTTATTACAATTATAACACTTTCACAACAGCTTTTTTTATTATTTTAGGTCTGATTTTTATTATGTATTTATACTTGCACTAGTACTTTTCTTTTCACTCCACACATGTGCTGATTCAATATTTTACGACTAATTTTGTAGGAGGCGTGGTTTATTATTCATTGTGCTGGGCTGTGAATCTGAGGGACCATGGTTCGCGTCCCATTATAACAAAGATAAAAAAAGCTCTCCGCACCTTGTGGCCCAGGGTGCGTTATTCGAATGACAGTTAAATCTTACTTTTCGTTTAGAATAGTCCAGAAATTGTCGATGTGTGTTGCTGATTACTCACCCCCATTTCTTCTGATCTATCATTTCAAAATTATGGACGCACAAACAGCCCTTGTGCGAGAAGATGCACGGCCGTCTGAAAGAGTTTGTTTCTTTGTTTTGAATTTCGCGCAAG